GGGTGGAAATTTGAATCCATGACGTTTTGGTCGAGATATATATTTTAACCAGATGAGCTATACTCAAGTTCGCAACAATAAAATAAATTAAACTATCATCTTTTTCTGTTATTTCATTACATTCGATCATCTATTATTAAAAGTCCTATTTAATAACTATTTCATTTTTATTTTCTATTTTTGAAAATTTAACTTATAAATACTACTTCAACCTATGTATTTATTTGTTTTGCTATCTGCAATTTAAAAACATTTTTAAAACTTAAGTCAAGTTTTAAAAATTAAAAGAGTAGCTTTTATTTTTTTGAAATTTAGCTAAGAATTTAAATGCGTTGGTATGAAGTTTGAAAAATATACCAAAGAAATTGAAAGGGGTAGGCATTATTTTTAGAAACAAAAAACTACGCAATCGATACTACACGGGGCTTAAGACTCCAATCAAAAAAAGAATAAAAGAAGGGAAAGGAAGAAGAAGATTCACTATGCTTAACTCCCTAGTTCGTACTCCTGAGTATATAACATTCGGTACTGTATTGAAACATGCAGCATAGAAATCAAGTTCATCTCAGATAGCCAATGAAAGGAGGAATTTTAGCTCCTTTCTTCAGTACCCAGGAAAAGTGTCATTTTAGTTGATTCTGGGTCTTTAGCCCTTTATATTCCTTGCATTAGCTATATCAGTGGAAATTGCAATAGCAACATTCATTAACAGAAACATTATGCGTACCCTAAAGAAAAAAAAAAGAAAAAGAAAAAACAAACAAAAACATCATGGATGAATTTGACATGGGTTAAATGTTTATACTATAAGCCAAAATTTTAAGGGTATGTCAGCAACACTCTTTAATCTATTCTATAACTTCAGATCAGTTAATCATTCTATATATCAAAGCTTAATAAAAGGAGAGATGAATTGTAGATGCATCTTACTTACCCCAGGGAAGGATTGGAAATTCCCACTCTTGAACTGGAACAGTGATGAGATATGAAGCAACCTAAAAAAAATGAGAGGGAGAAATAAAGTTAATGGATAATTAGAAGCATTCTAATTTCACCCCTAAAGTAACATACCAAGATGGAAGCAGCTAGAGAACAAGGAGAACTATAAAATACAGATGTCTCCTCTTTTTCATAAAGAAGATCCATTACATCCATGCATGCTTCCCAGTTTACAAGCTCCCCAACTTTCGCTACTTTCCTGAATTTAGTACCAGCAAGAGACAAACTAAAAAGAAGCCAAGGACAATCTGATGCCAACAATCAGAAACTAAAACTACGGTCTGCTAAAGAAAAGGTCAACTCAACAGAGAGAGTCGGCAAAAGATCTTACTTGAACTGAATAAGAAGTTCTTCGAGATATATAAAAGTGATATGTGCAGTACCGATCTCGAAATTCAATACCTATAGAAGATAAACTTATGTATAGCATCAGGACTCTACCAGAATGAGGTAAGAAACTTCTTTGGTTTATTTTGAGAAGTACCTGCATGAATATGACCTCCTACAGAATATCATCATCAACAATGGCAGATATCACTGCAAGAGAAAGCAATATTAAAAACCACTGTGGAAACGAACTTACTGCATCCAAGAAATCTCGGGTCATGAAATGTTGTTCCTTAATCATCTTATCCCCAAAAGACTTGAGAAGTTTTATTGAAAGGGGATGAGAAGAGTGGGACTGCAAAAGAATATATATGGTTGAGTTACAGGACAAAGAAAGGCACTCATCTTCAGAAAGAGGAGAAGAACCCACTTTGCTAGAAATCCATAGGGAAACAAGTGCAAATAACTGCAAATTGCTTTCTGTGATTGGTTGCAGAAGCCAATTTCCTGAGTTATTGCTGCTGGTGAACCTTTTCAAGCAAAGTGCAGCATTTAATCCAACAATTCAGGTGGGAGTCAAAAAACCCCTTACAAGAATTGTTAAAATTTTTTCTAGTATTTGATTAGATAATTAAAAACTATTTAGAGAATTAAAAAAACACTAAAAAAAAGCACCTGAAGTGTTTTTAGGAGAACCACTTAAATTAATACTTCTTCCAAAAGTATTTATTTAGAAACTATATTTTCAAAATTCATCTCAAACTCACCTAAATAGGACAGAAAAATTCATAAGACAAAGCCTTGGTAATACTATTCACTAGATAAGCAGCATTTTCTCGTAACAAATATATAAATTCTCCAATTGTTAATTAGGAAACGATAACAATTTCAATTCTAACTCAAACACCATTGACTTTCATAACAATATACCAGCACCACCAATAAATCAAACTAAAATCGAACAATATTGCACCATTCACAGTCTTAAAATCACTATTTATGAAACTAATTTGACTGACTAGATAGCGCGTATTCATCTGAGCGATTCCAGAATTGAATGCGTCGAGAATCAAGAAGAGGTAAAATTACCCAGAAATCGACTGGTAGAATCTATCAGCGAAAAGTGACAACGCCGCATATTTGACAATTGGAGCCAATTCGAGATCCTTCCAAGAAATTCGAGGATGGAAAATGTATCGGTATAATAGTTTGGAATCTGAAATTTGCTCTTCGCATTTGATTCTCAAAACTTGAAACAAATTTGAGAAAAAAAAAGAGAGGAAAAGATTGGACTCACATGAGCAGATTGAATTAGGAATTTCACGACGCGAATTCTCAGAGCCGATAAATTCTCAGTTTCCATCGTTGTTCTTCGCTCCTATTTTCTCGTAGCAGACACACGATTTGGCATTATTTCCCTCCTTTTTCTTTTACGTTTAAATCTCACCTTGGTCCTCCAATTTTCAAATATTCAGTTAAAATAAAACATTTAAATCTTTTATTTTAGTTTTAACAAATTAATAATATAACTTCAAGTATTCATAATAGCCAAAGTTTTAAATGTGGTCCATTAAACGTGGATAGAAATCTTGATGTGTATAGATATTTATGGAAAATTAAAAAAAAAAAAACTCGTAACAAACATTTAAATTAACAAATATGCATTCCACTATTTTTAAATAAGTTAAAAGTTATAAATATTTTGTCTATATAAATGATATTATGATATTTTCTATATTTTATCGATTTCATTTTTGACAATAATATGAAATGTCAATTCATCCCTCATGTTGATGTCGAACCCATGAACCCATAGGAATGTTGGCATGTCAGACTTTAGTACATATGTCAATTACCACTGAGCTAAGCTCGTATTAGCTTATTGAATTAGTACTCATTTATTAAAATACTTTGTTTTACATTACATTACGATTGAAACAAAGATGTGATGTTTTTGGCCATTTACAAACTGCTCGAAATAAGTTAGGTAAATGTTTAAAGTCTCATTTATTTTAAGGAAATGAAAATCAATAAATATGAATCAAAAATTTCATTTGTGTTTATTAAATTGTAAGAATGAAATCTTGTATGTTTGGGGTAAAATATACCCAGGATACGTGGAGGACTCTTATTGGTGTCCGAAGAAACTAAATAAGAGGGATTGCCTAGGTCCACCTCGGCCCTGCCCGAGGAGACCAGGTTCGCCCATTATAAAAAGGCTAAGTATGGGCGTCAAGGTTCGACCTGGCTTGGGTCCGACCTGCTTGGAACCCGACAGGTTCGACATGAGAAAAGACATATAACCGCCGGTCGTGTGTACTGTCGGATCCATCACCTATAAATAGAGGGCTTCATTTCACGCTCAGCTATCGAATCTCACCTCGAACTAAATACAGAATCCGATCTATACTAACTTGAGCGTCGGAGTGCTTACCCTCTTATGCAGGTCCACTCTAGTGTTCAGGTCGGAACCGGAGACCGGGTTCGAGCTCGATTCGTGAAGAACCGTTGTGCAAACTCTTGCATAAACATTTGGCGCCGTCTGTGGGGACACGATCTAAGTCATCCCGATCTAAGAAACATACGCAAAGATGGTGCAACCAGCAAACTCTACTAATACGACAGAATGGAGGGGTTTGAACGCTGATAATGGCACTCAGCGAGACCTTGATGCAAGAATGGTCGAGGACTAGGTCCGAACGGGACAAGAGGGAGATCTGCCGTGCAGATCTGCCCGCCACGCGAACCAAGAGTTACCCCCTGCTCACCCGAAACCCTCAAAGGCCAACCGAGGCCGAGGTGGGACCTCGAGAAAGACCTCCCGAAGGGCCAACCAGGTGGCAGACCCTGAAGCTTTGTCTACTCTCCAGTGCGAGTTGGATGATATG